TTTTTTTTTTTTTTTTTTTTTTCTCTTTCAGGCTTACCCCAACACACTCATTTTTCTACCCAGTAATTGTCTTATTCAGTTCCTTATCTAGGCAAGCAAAACTTTTTCTTTCAGTTGTTCATATACACTGCAGGAAAAAAACCCTCCCTCTCGCCTACAGAGACAAAAAAAGGCAAGTAAATGGGAATACTGGGTGGAAACCACAGAATAAAGTAAGTGGCAATGAGAGGATTTGTGCCAGGAGCATACTTGTAGCCTGGAGAAAAGAAGGAAGACAGGATCGTATAGGCAAGAATCACTGGCAGGGACATACAGCCTTACTGCCTGGGAATGGCATGGAAAAGGGAGCACTGGGCATCACGAAGGCAAATAATTGCTGGTAGAAGGGACTCAGGGAAAGGTTTAAAGAGGTATGGCAGGGACAGCCAGATTCAAGGAGACAAGAGCTTTCATCTACCAAGTAGCTCACTGTGTGCAAAGAGCTGCAGAGCCTGCGGCCAGGGAGGTTGCAGTGCAGGTGAACCACCTTGTGCCAACAGTGCCCAACGCACCAGGATAAGGCCAGCTGCATCCAAGCAACATCAGCATTACTTCAGTTAGGAAACCTGTCCATCTCGGAGCGGCTCCAAAGCCAAAGCAGAGAATGGATTTGTTTGGAACAGCTCCGAGAGCTTCATTTGGAACAGTTAAATAGACAGAAATAGCCTTACAAATACTAAAAGGTTTTCCCCAAAGATCCAACAGACTGGCTCAGAACGAGGGCCTGAGATCAATTAGCTGTTTTACAAAAGTCTTGTTGAGCCCTCCAGATAGATACAACTGGCTCTGCCACCACTGTCATTTCTACAGGATTATAACACTGTCTCCTTTCTTTTTGGCGGAGGAGGATACGCTATGAGGAAAGAGAGCGAGAAGATTTTATGCTTTTACCTGTCCCATGAAATCCGTGAAGAAGAGCATGTTGGACAGGAAAGCCATCCATCCAAAGAGGTGGCTCACACACAGATAGCGATAGTGGGATGGCATGCTTAAAAGGGTCTTCAAGAGTGATTTAAGGGTCATCCGCCTTTGATCCTAAAAGCAAGTATTTAACAATAATACTGTATTATTGCCCTGAAGGCTAATAAAATAGCTGACAGCAAATGAAGAAGGCCTCAGCATATTTTCATTGCTAAACTTCCGAATTTTTTTATTTTTTGCTAGGAAGGGTTGTTTGGGTACTGAATGTCCTTCAATATATATTTGATTTGTAGAGCTATTGCCTAATAAAGTCATCTGAAAGATTCAGAGAGACTCTGGGAGAGCTGGGGTATATCAGCAAGGATGTAACATTTCTCGCTCTTATAATCAGTAGGATTATTATTTACTTGTAGAACCAAGTGAAAATTTTCTGCCAAAACAGATTCAGTGGAGTTGCAAAAAAAAACAAAAACAGAAACAAAAATAATTTCTTTATAGAGACAATCAGCTTTACATCGAAAATTTAAAGCTGCCATGGAAAAAATGAAACTCAAAATACCTCCTGAGAATTAAAATGTTATCAGTTGTGGAATACGGCACTTCTGAGACCTCATTGCCATTCCCTACTATGTGCTAAATTCCCTAGAAAACTTCACTTCTTCTGGCGTATCATAAGATTTCCGCTATCTACTGTCCTCCCCTCCGTGAAGCAGGGAGAGACCGTGATACATCACAGGGGGTGCAGCACCACTCAGAATCCTAGCACCCAGAGAATGTGAGCTCCAGTACCTGAACACCTCATCCCCTGGGAGAAATAACTCATTTCAAAATCAGGTGCTGGTTAACAAATCTCACTGACGGGGAAAAACAAAATTTCTCACCACCTTCAATGCCCCACCTTATCTCCCTCCTCCTTGTCTGAGCCCTGTGCCCAAAAACTCTCTCTCAGTTTCTTTTCCAGCCACATTCATCAGATCACTTGTACCACTTGAATTTTTTTTAGTGCTGTAGGTATGCTTGATGTCAGGCATTTGCAATACACCATTCTTACTGCTTTAAAGCTCCTGCATGGTTCTTTGCTTTTAAAGAAAAAAAGATATTATTTTATCTGTGCATGATGGAACATTTCCAATTTTCTCTAGTGATGTTTGGAGGCAACAGTGTTGGGAGAGATGGTAAGGGAAGCTGTATGGTCATGAAATGTGGAAGAACTGTAAAGTTATGTTCATTACTGGAAAGCTAAATTTTGTCTTCAATTTGCTGTAAGATAATGACATTTTTTCCTTCCTTCAGTGTTCTACTTACTTTTCACATTTCTGCTTTCCTTTGAACTGCTTATGCTGCAAGCTACTCTATGAATAATCACCACATATAAAGTTGGAAAATACTTTGCTCCAGTGGGAGGTTTTTAATCCTCATGGGAATGCCAAAATTCAAGTTGCTGACTTTCACCTTGAACTGCATATTGTCCAAATCCCTTGGAATTTCTCTTGGCATCACTGTCTTTTTTTAAACAGGGCAAGCTTTGTATTCTTCTACAGTTATAAAAACCAACCAAAAAAATCCGCTCTCATTAGTGACTCATTAGTGTTATTTCAAGGATAATTACTATTGTTTGACTTGGCTTATTTAATTTGTTCAACTCTTCCACACAGTTCTTTAAAACAGCCTTTCCAATCAAAGTGTTAACATAAGGTCAGGGAACTACAAAGGACAGTGCTGTAATTACAAACAATAATTTGACAGCTAGATAGAAATGCTTGCTTTCTATTCAGATATTTTAAAGAGTGGAAATGGAAACTGAAATGTTTAATGCACGTGTTCAATACACACCAACACACAAACCCCACGCTAATTTAGACGTGTTGAAGTTTGACTATGTTTAAGTGCCTTATCCTTCAAACGCTCACAATACCCAATCATTTTCTCTACAAAATCACTACAACTCAAGGCCTAAGATGATTCATAAGGATACAGAGGAATCAATGTAACTTGGGGTTTATGGCAGTAGATCCTGAGTAATTGGGCACCAAACTGAAGAACAAAAGACGAATCACTTTGGATGTCTGTTCATACTGTAACAGGTCAAATATCATTAATAATCATGGTAACTATTAGCATGTAAGAGCACAGTCCTTAATTTAGAAGATACAGGGCCATGATGCCTGCAGCAAAAAAAGAGATACAGAAAAACAGGAAGCCAAACCATTTCTTCAAGGAAGCAATTGCAGTAATGCATGAACTTAGAAAACATGTGCCACAAGAGACAGACCATTAAGAGAGTGAGCGTCTAGAACTTACACATGCCCAGGCACACCAAAGAAACACCAGACAGATCAAAGCACTGTGAGCCTCTGACGGGCTGTCCAGCTGAAAATACAGAGGAGGGCAACGGCAGAAGCTGGCCCATAGTGGACGCCAGAGCTTCACCTCGGGTGTCAGACGTTACTGATTCAGTGCAATTAGTTCTTGCCAAGGTAGAGGCTACCCCAATCCATAGTCTGCTCCTTGCTTTCACTGCATCTGCTTTCTTCTTCTTCATTTACCTTCCTTTCTTTAGAACCCACATGGGCCAAGCAGTCAGTGACACTCAGCATCTCTGGCAATCTGGAGGATGCTCAGAGCGAACAGTGCTGGTGAAGAATGCTGGCTGCTCAAGTTGGCCTATGGTGGGGAAACAGGGACAGCATCGCAGTGTGCTAGCCATATTCTCCCTACAAACTGTTGCTTTGCTGTCTGCCCCTCTCTGTGTTTGTCTGGCATTCTCATGAGGCAGTGTTCATCTTTTATTCTACCTGTGTGTTGTATCTGGTACAATAATATTTTTCTTCAGGTTAGGAATACCAAGTGCTATTATAATGCAAATGATAAATAGTAAAAGATAATAAATCCTTTTTATTTGTAGCTTAAACATGAGTTTACATTTCTAACTTATAACCATATGCACATTCTCAGTATTTTTGACCTGATTTATCAAGACCTGTATCAGGGATAGATATACATAACACCAAGAGATCAGAAGTGAAATTAAAACAACAAGCACCTGTTTCATCATTTATTGTTACACTAGGAGCCAAACATATACATTAGCCTTTGCTTACCTAGGGTACCATGAGAGTGCAGTGAGGATTCCTAGCACTAAAAGCCAACAACAAAACAGTAAAAACTATTATCTGTCCCCAAGACCATTCTAGAAATGTGCTCTCCAGACATTTTTCAGATAGATTCACCTTTTCCTAGTTGCCTTAGATTGAAGCAATCTCTCACAAAAATGCAGCAGAAACAAAATAACAATGATGATTTGAAAATACTCGCTATTCTCTCCCACCTGAAAGTTCTGCCAAAGACACAGCTACAACATCATTTCAAAACAAAATGAAAACTCTGGAAGTGAGGTAGCATTGCTGTAGAAGTAGCAGCTTTAAACACATCAGTACTGTCAATAAATCCTCAATGAAATGTTGAGCAGCAGCATAACTGGAATGTTTACCAGACCAGGGAACAAACACTTCATATGTACTGCCTATGTAAGCGGGTGGACTTCAATGGGAGTTACAGATTTATATCAGATTAATGGTCTGGTGTCCTTGTCAGCAATGTGATGTTAATTCTGTCAGGACTACAGGACACCTCTTGACAAAATTCACGAGGAGGATATCAGGAGACTGACACAGAGCAGAAACCTGAACCTGGTTCTCCCTCATCCCTGACAATTGTTGAAAGCATCGGGACTAGACTGTCTCATCCCTCTTGCTGGGACTTTACAAATAAAAAAAAGGGAAAAGCAAGCAGGCTTTCTACTGACCCTGTATGCTAGTGGAGGATTCTTTCTGTGTGTGTGAAAGGGCTCCATTCCAAATAGTCAGCATTAGCTAATTAAAGGGTCTCCAAGGATGGAACGATATGGGTTACAAAATGATCTCTGCACTTACCTCTGTATGTGACATAACAGCACATTTCCCTGGTTTAGCTGCAGCCTTTATTTCAGTACATGTTGATTTTAAGTAGCCATTCTTGATTTCCTCCTCTATGGAGCTATATTTATAGGATTCAGTCACTTCCAACAAGATCTTTGTCTCTTCATTTCTGTATCTGAGTGGAACTTCAGGAATACTGTGCAGATGTACGGTAAGACAGACTAGGAAAACCAAGGCTGCGAAGAAGAAAATCACCTGGAACTCCGATGCCAAGGAATATCCTAGTACAGTTTGACCCCAATCCATAGCACCTGTCAGGTAGCCCAGGGCTCCTCCCAAACCTATGGGGGTGGGAAAAAAGGAGAAAAAAGATCTACTGGCATTGATAAAGTAAACAAACAGTACACAATACCCTCAACGTGATTCTCCACTAGAAATGACTTTCCAGATATTACTCACAAGAAATAGGAATACTGAGCTAATCACATACATGAGCAGTTACCAAAACATTTCTCAAAAAATCTCCTCAGCTCTGGTGGACAGAGGTCTCAAAAAAATGCCTGAACATATAGCAACATGGGCCTCCATCTCTTTTCTTGAATCTTTGAGGCTTTATTTTCTTTGAAACAGTGAGTAATAAAAAATAAAATTCTACTGAAATTTGTGGGTTTTTTAAAACTTCACAGCACATTTTTTTAATGATACCAAGACTGTCTATACTTTTGACTTTGTAAAATGTATTTTATATAGCTGAATCTAAACAGAAATACTGTCTCCATGTGAAATTTAAAGAAAAGGAAATAAAACCCAAAGCATTGCTTTGTAGTTATCAAAATCCAAGTACCTCACCACTTGGAAAAGAAAACAAAAAGGATCAAATACAAATGTGTAATTCCATTTACTGATTTTCTCAGAAAAGTTAGAATAAAAGGTAAAATGAGAATGCTACCTTGTGTCTTGAGGTTAATAAAACCAGTGTTCAATCCAATTTTTAAAAAATTTCTTCTTTTTGTTATTAGCGCACACAGTTTCAGAAGCACAAGAAAGCACACGCTGTTACATACAGTACAGAGCTCTGGTAGGGGAAGCAGCTTTGTAGAGTCCTGACCCCTTGTTAACCAGGTGGCTCTGCAGGACGTGGGAGTTAAGCAGGCTAGAAGCATTTGAAGGACTTTAAAGTATTTCTACTCTTCTGCTTAGGAGAACTGAAGACAATGTATGGCAGAACCATTCTGCCTAACAAAAAGTAACAGGGGTAACAGGACCTACATTTGCCTCACCTACAAAACATGAGATTTTGATTTCATTTTGGGCTTTCTGTATTTTGTCTCAGTGGTCATAAGCTTCATAACTGCAAAGCTATGAGTTTCATGTTCAAACCTTAAACTGAAGACAAACTGGAGAGAAAAATATTGGAGATACTTAGTGTAAAAAGAAGTAACTAAATAGGGAAACACAATAATACCTAAAACAGAAGCTAGAAAAGAAATTGAAAGATTGCTGTCTGTGTCTAATAGGGATAGAACAAGGAATGATGATTGTGAATTGTAGGGAATGGATATTAAGATTAGATTTTAGGGAAAACTGTCTAACAACAAGGCTGGTGAAGTGCTGGAACAGACTGCCTTGGGAGGGCTGCAGAACCCCTATCAAGGGAGGATTTCAAGAACAAGCTAGGTGATTACCCATCAGGAAGGGTTAAGATACCGATGATCTTGCTATGGAGGGCACAGGGTGCTGGACTAAATAATGCAATCTGTTCCAGTCTTATTTGATGTGATTTGTCCCACATCCCTTTTCACAGCTCAGCACACAAATGAATCAGCTAAATCTGTAGCTCCAAATTTGGAAATCAAGTCTTTTTATTATCATCCAAGGAAAAACTGCAACTGGAGTTCTGCTGAAAGCAAGAAGATACATAGAGACTCCCTCCCCTCTCTGTCCAAACAAGTGATTGTTACAAATTTTATCTGACAGTTTCTAATGGATCATACTGATTTCACTCCCCTGTGGTTTTAAGGTTCCCTTATAATATGTGTTCCTGGACACAGCTATTCTGTATGTCCAAAATCGGCCTGTTGCAAATAGCTACTCCTCCTCCCTCCTCGACTAGAGTAACTGCCACTGAATCTACGTGCCTCTGCTCTTGGTATGGCTCAGTAGCCACAAAAGTCTGCATCAACAGATTGCATGACTTCTCATCTAGTCTGCTTTTTGCCTAGTCCTGTCACAGTGACTGCTCCCAGACACAGCTGGAAGCTCCTCCTGATTCACATTACAGGTACACGGCCTTGTGTGTCTTCCCCGTGCATTTTCTCAACGCAGGGCTCACATAGTACAGGTTTCCTTCTGTACAGAAGGTTTCCTTCTGTAACTCAGCAACATTTCGAATATGTGTAAGGGCAAATGAAGCTCTTACTTCGCTTGCAAGAGCCTGAACTGAACCACTTAGGCTTATTTTGTGGAAGTTGTGAAGCTCTGAATTTTACACAGAACTCCTATTTCTATACAGGAAGGCAGCAGATATTGGAGCACTGCTGAAGAATGGAAATCAACTATACTGGTTTGTGCAGCTCTTGTTCTACATCACATGCTGAGTAAAAAATGTTATTTTTATGTGCTATGGCAAGGAAAAAAGTTACATCCCTTAATTTTGGCTTCACCAAAAACTTGGAAAAAATCAGAACAAGCTGAATAAACATGATTTCGCTTTTTAAAATAATTAATTGCTCTTACTTAAATCATGGCTATGTTGCTGTAAATATTTATGCCTGCAGCCTTCTCCAGCAGAATTCCTGTAGCAGCAATCAGAAGTTGCTGTTCTTTGGAGTAGTGAAAACCCGGCAACAAAAGACTCGTGACTGAAGCACGGGATCAGATGATCAGTTCATTCAAGATTAGAAACACAGTAAGAATAAAATCCATGCAATTACCTTCCCCTCCTTCGAGAGGTAGGGAGGAAACTAAGGGATCTGAGTACCTGTAAAGAGAGCGTGGTAATGCAGACCCTTCTCTTTATCCTGATGAGAGCAGACATCAAATAAATATGCTTTGATGGGGCCATCAATAAAATCAGCTGCAAAATCAAAAAGCACTACTCCCAGCATGGTAATTACTATTGCCCATGTCCGCCGATTGTCTCTCTCACCGACGAAAGCTACAAAAAGAAAAACACCCTCATTCTGACAGCAGCAGTGCCATATTCTGCAAAACCACATTTTGCCTTTCCCGATACCTCCAGATCTAAACAATGTTTAAAATTAAACAATTAAGAAATTAAACAATGCAAGGGAGAGCAGTGATACCAGAATCACATCAGAGAAGCAGGGTAACCGAGCCTGTGTAGCGCTGAGCTGTGCTAGGTTGACTTACTGCCTTGGGTCAGCGCAAGCTCAGGGTACTCCAAGCTCCACAATCAAGAGCATCACTAGACTTAATCTACTCCTTTGCACCTCCCTGGCATGCTCTGGTAGCCTAACACACATGCATTTTGTAGTACTTTTTTGTTTTATTCTATTTGTCCCACCCTTCCATTGTTTTAGATTATCAAGTGTTGACTGTAACACCTCTTTTTCAGCAAATGTATACAAGTATATTCAACACCAATAATATGCAGGAAGAGAGAGTCAATCAATCCATAAAAACACACCCCTCCCCCCCCGTCAAGTCATAATGACAGCAACAACTTTCCATCAAGATTTGGGAAGTTACATCTCAAGCTGAAATATAACAGTATCTAGGGGTGTCACTCCTATTTGATTTTGCATATTCCAGGTGCAGCACGGTTTCCACGGAGTTACGGATTTCTATTATTCACCAGCATAACACAGTCCCAAGTCAAGCCAGTGCTGCAATAATTAAAGATACGTATTTTGAATGCTAATCCATCTAAAATAGGGATTAACAGATACTCAGTTTGGATGTGTATTACATCACACAAACAATATTGATCATTTAACTTAACAAGGTAGATGTTAGTTTGTAAAAACTTCTCTGGCCCTAAGCAGTGCTTTACTTGTATGAACTGATCAGGCAACCACACCAACATACAACATACCGTAATCACATGCAGAAACACAGAACACTATGTACAGGGTACATAACATGCAGCGTTATGATTGAATGTATATGAAGATTTCAGTGTTCCCCAGCTCCTTCAATGCAGCTGGGTAACATGATACCCAATTTTAACAGTCCATTTTAGCAGGGAAAAAAGGAACCCCTCTTTTCTTTCTGATTCAAAAGGCTACGATGAGTTTTGTCTGTCAGCACAGCGTATGCCCCTCACTCACCTGAGATCATCATGTCCCCATTGAGGTACAAAGCCATGCCTAACAGCATTATGATGCCCAGACCCAGAATGTAAGGTCGCCTCCTGCCCCAGCTACAGGTGCAGTGATCACTGGCTGAACCTACCACGGGCTGCAGCACGAAGCCCAGGATAGGGCTGATGAGCCACACCAGGCTGTAGAGGTTCTTGGGCAGCCCTACACTGAGCAGTACCGGCGTGACAAAGGCGGCCTCCACGGCATAGCAGAACTCCCGGCCGAACATCGCCATGCTGTGCATGACCAGCCTTCCCACCGCTCGCTTCCTTGGCACCACTGCTCCAGATGTCGTCACAGACTGCAGCAGAGCCTCCTCCTTCTCTCTGGTGCTGTCCATGTCAGCCTTGGTCACCTCAGAAGTGGGTGGAAGAGCCCCGTGGAAACTCTCTTTTGTTAAGGTCATTGCTCTGGCTACGCGCAGCGCTCCGGCAAGTTGGTGCTGCCTGCCCTGGCTGACATGGAGCCCAGATCATATGCCGGGTGGGATCAGTCTGTGCTGGGGGAGGGACTCACATACTTTCATGGCTCTGCGATCACAAGTTATGAAAGGAAGGGGGTGGGGAAGCGTGTGTTAACATTAGCAGATCTGAGCTCTTGCGCGTCTGCAGAGCTCCCAACTATCTACAACTAAAGAACTACTGTTTAAGCACAAAACACACATATAACGGGAACGTACATCACATGGGCGAGGCGCAGGATTAGCGTGACACAAAGCTATCTTCCTGTTGCTGTAAGACAGTGGTGATACCAAGGAACTAGAGCCATCATCTTTCCGTTCAGCAAACAACATGAGCACCAGAGAGTGCCGATTTCCTGTTGATCCAACAAGAGGAAAAGAATCTATAATATATATACACAAAAGATTTCAATGCACTTCATAAAGGTAAGTAAGTGAACCTACCTATTGCCCTAGAGTGTTAGTGGCAGATAAAAAGCTTGACAGAAGTCTGCCAAACAGCAACTGGTGAATATTTTTTCGTATCTATCTGCTGTGTGCCACCCTCAATACAACTGATTATTTTCTTGGTTTCTGAGAAACAAAGGATATCAAGATCACTTAGGGTTTTTTTAAAGTCTTACCTGCCAAAAGAAGGCCTTGAAAGAAATCTGTAGTGACATACCAAAACTGTGCCTTTCAGGTTAGCCACCTGAGTGAGGCAACTGATACAACCTATGCTGAATCACAGAATCATAGAATGGTTTGGGTTGGAAGGGACCTCTAAAGGTCATCTAGTCCAACCCCCCTGCCGTGGGCAGGGACATCT